GGGATAACGCTTATATGTTATTGGGCCTTCTATGACCCAATAGTTTATAAAAGGACTTTCAATAGCTTTTATGTGTTATAGGGCCCTAGTGGCCCATTAGTAAAGCTAGTAAGGTCAAAGTATTCAAATGCGAGTTGGACCATCGTGTCTTTCGCATCCCCGACAGCCTAAGGTACTTACGATAGTAGTAGGACATAGTGCTCCTCTTCTCTTCGTTCGCTAAGGCTTATGAGTAATCAAAGTAGACGGAATTAGGACGTTATTCAACAGTAATCAAGGTGGAGTAATCAATAGTCATTCGATATGACGGTACAAAAGTTAGTAATCACTTATATCTTTCGACATCGGAAAACATCGGGTTTTCCGGGGAAATCAATACTATTCGTTCGAAAATTCCATAACTATAATACAAAACACCCCCTTTATATATATATATATATATATATATATATATATATATATATATATGTTTTGAAATCATTCATGCATCAACTTATGGATCTTCACACTTTGATAAACTAATGTCTTTTCAGAAAATATCGGATTTTCTGGGTTTTACAAACTATACAAATCATTTTATTCACAACTTTGCTTATGAACTCACCAACATTTCATATGTTGACGTTTTCCAAAATAACTTGTATTCTCAGGTAACAGATAAGCGGAAGGGTAATACCAAGTATGCTAGGATGTTTTGTTTTGAAAACTCTGAAACAATTTGTGTTATGAATGTGTAATATTTGAAAACAATGTACTGGATGTAAACAATATCAGTTGTAATGTATTGATGCATGGTGATGTTTATGTTATGATTCATGTATATTCATTGTGATGGTATTCAATTTAAGTCACGCGAGCCCCCGGACGTTTCCGTCGTCTGGTTTCGGGGGTGTGACACTCTGGAGGCAGCTGTCTAGGTTGCCAAGTTTGTTGAAGAGATGATCAAGGGAAGAGTCGCCAGCAAGGTTGAAGATGGCGAGAAAAGGAAGTTCGATGGATCATCAAAATCCAACAAGAAGAGCAAGTTTAGTTCAAAGTTCGAAGGAGGAGGTGAAGCAAAATGATGTGATAAGTGCAAGAAGAAACACTTTGGAAAATATGGCGAGGAGGTGACATGTTTCAAATGTGGAAAGTATGGGCATTACGCCAATGAATGTACATTCAATAAAAGGGTGTGTTATGAATGTAATGAAGAAGGGCACTACAAGCAAGACTGCCTAAAAAGGAAAGGAGCTACAAAGCTAAAAGTACCTCCGAAACCAAAGTCAAAAGCATTCCTGATGATCCTTAATGAAGTAGGCGACGATGCAAGGGATCAGGAGTAAGGACTATATGTTCTAATATCAAGATATAATGCAGCCATACAGATAGAATCTGGTAGTGTAGCCTATAAGAGGCATAGTATAGGTTAAACTAGAACATCTTTGTAATCGTTTCAAGAAATAATATAAACCTTCGTTTTGTTACCAGATGTGTCAAATGATTATGTGAAAATTTTAAATGGTGACTTGGAAAAATGCGAGACAATACTTGGGACGAGTATGAGTAGGTGTGAATAGTAGTAGAGGTCTATACTACTGGAAGCACATGACTCATACTTGGATCAGGGAAAGTCACAAGGTTACCAAGAAGCTAGTAATTGATTTCGTTTTTATTCTAGTGTGTCGTTACCATCGTTTCGGTAATGACTAAGAACATGATTGATATTCCGACCCTAGAGGTCATATCGAATTGATTCCGACTAAGATGAGTATGTTACGTGGTTCGGGGAAAGTTGAGTCCAAGGTTTATTGGACCGTTTAAAGTTCTTCAGAGGATTGGGAACCAAGCTTACAAGCTAGAACTACAAGAAGAATTAGATGGTATTCATAACACTTTCCACGCGAGTTATTTGAGGAAGTTCACGGGAGAAGTTCCCGACATAATTCCAATTTCTGAATTAAGATTGGATGAAAGCAAGATGTTAATTGAAGAATCAAATGCAATTGTTGACCGTAAGACTAAGAAGTTGCGACGCAAGATGGTCGATTTAGTGCTTGTGCGATGGAAACATATGAATGGGCCAAATCTCACCTGGGAAACGGAGAGTGACATGATAAGTCGTTATCCGCAGTTGTTTGCTGATGTATGATTCCGAGGACGGAATCATTCTAAGGGGGAGAGAACTCTAACGCCCGTGTTTCTGGGCTAAGAATTAAAGACGATATAATAGTCTAGGTCAACTATTGTAACGTGTTTTGAAGTAATAAGAATGAATTAGGTAAATTTATGTGCCTTATACTTTATTATGATGATATAATAAATTAAGGATAAAATAAGCATAGAAAGTGAAATGTTAGATAAAGGCGATATCTATGAAGAAAGTTGTAGTGGTCGAAACAAGGATTCCAGAGATATAAAGAATACCGAAATCCGAGTTATAACGAAGAAGTTATGACCTGTCGAAGTTTCACGACAGAATCGGCACGACGCTGTGTGACGTAAAAAGTGAGTTTACGATAAAGTGCTTTTTAGCCTTAACGATCTAAATGAAAGTCGTAGTATACATTAAATCGAGAGCATGCATAAAAAGAATGTCCAAATCTGACTTCGTATGAAAAAGTTATGAATTTTCTAAGATTTGGCATAGATCGAGCAATTTTTAGCTTACACAGCCTAAACGAGAATCGAAGATCTCGTCGATAGTAGTTTAACGGTAAAAAGGCAGACGAAAACGGATGTCGGATGAAGAAGTTATGGATTTTTAACGGACTTTTCCTGTCTCGGCCTTTTAAAAAAATATAACTTTAAAAATAAAGTCAAAATTAACCGACGGAGTCTAAACGAATCTCAAGCAGATTTTACCCGATCGAGAAGAAGATAATGCTTAATATACTGTCAACATTGAAAATAATAAATGGTTACTAAATATTATTAAAAGAAATAAAACACGCACCCATTAGAAAAAAAAATGTTTGAAAAAATGAAAATAACTCCACCTTGTCGTGTACGAGATTTAGTAAGCAAAATCACAAACAGATTTTATGCATTCAAAATAATGATCATTTGACCTAAAGCTCATCAATATTGAATTCTCCACCTATAAGACCGATGGGTGTGGAGCGGGAAATGGGTAAGGGAAAGTTCCCCACCCTGGAACACCATACTATGAATGGGGAGGGATAAGAGTGAGGGATCTCTCCTCGTGTGATTGGTCAGTATTTTTTTTTCAGCTTTTTAATATTTATTAAATTACATACCTACTAAAAAGCAAGGTTGTAAAAATCGCTCGACGGTCGACTGGTGTTAAGGGATTAATCGGTCTTGACGGGGATTAATCGGGGACCATAGATTATTAATAAAATATTAAAATTAATTAAATATTAATATATCTTAAGAAAAACAAGTACTTCAAAATTAGAAAATAAGAAAAATTGTAATTTGGAAATTTGGAAATACGAAAATATGAACATTTTGGTATAATATTCGAAAATTTGAAAATTTTGGAGTAAAAAAAAAGTTGGTTTTTTGAATTTTTTTAAATTTTTTTAAAAAATTTTAAAAAATTTTTAAAACTTTTTGACATTTTTTGACTTTTTTTACTTTTGTTGACCGATTAATCCCGTCAAGGCCGATTAATCCCGCCAAACCCGATTAATCCTAAATTTCCGATTAATGCCCTAATCCTCGACGGTTGGAGAACGCCTAGCGATTCATCCACGATTAATCGCCGATTAATCCACGATTAATCGCCGATTAATCCCGATTTCTGCAACCATGCTAAAAAGTTATAAAAATTATATTAAAATTAATGGTTTTTAGTTCCATACAAAAAAAATTTCCATACAAAAAAAATTATATATATATATATATATATATATATATATATATATATATATATATATATATATATATATAAGTGAAAGGTTCTTTACATACATACCCTAGGTTTTGGTCATAGAAAGAAAAGTAAGGGAAAGGCTGATGTAGCAGACAGAAAGTGAGGGATCCTTCTGGCACATACCCTTGAGTCTAAATACGGTATAATAATAGCAATAACTAGATTATGACCCGCGTAAAACGCGGGGAACGTATAAAAAATTACATTTATAATAATATAAAATGTTGATACAACAACAATAATAATAAAAATAAAAAGATAAAGTAAGGGGAACAGACTTATAGTTATTGATAATATTAAAATATCTAAAAAATACAATAAATATTAGAATATCTATAATCGTTAAAAGATCTTTTTATAAATAATATTTTTTGTTTTATTAGTTGGACAACCTCCTCATTTCACTTACCATGACCGAAGACGGGTCTACACAAGTATGAGTTGTAATTTGTTGCAAATTTTTTTTATTTGTTGTTATTGTGAGTTTTGAAGTTTCAAAGGGAAAAAGTTGAAAAATAAACAACTAATACAACTTTAGTGATAATTTGTTGAACTATTTTTATTGTAAAAAGACTTGTAATTGTCTTATTTCAAAAAATAAAATAAATACGCTTGTAATAACACATAAATAATTACCATCATGGTCCCTATTTAAAAAAAATGCATAAATGACCCTTGTGAATTTTTTTTTTTTATTATTATTATTATTTTTTTAATGGATGTATAAATAGCCACTCGTTAAACAAAATTAACATAAAGGCTCCGTGACTAAAAATGCACAAATGACTCTTATTTTTTAACAAAAAAGAAAAAAGGCCTAACAGAAAATGTCATTGTTTAAAAAAATACACAAGTGGTACATGTTAAAAATATTAACAAAAATGGATTGTGTTTTAAAAAAATGCATAAATGGTACTTAACTTATACCACACCACTTATAACCTCATCTCTTTACCCAAGCCAACACCAACATACAAACATTTAAACCGTTGGTCAAACCTACTACCAAACCACTTTCTTACCCTTTGATTACCGAGATGAGCAAGAAAAAATATGTTTAAATTCAAGGGTTGATGGTTATCAAAGAGAGAGAGTACAAGTCAGATTTGTTCAAGAAAGCATGGAGCATTTTTTTTAAGGGCTGAATTATATAACTAAAAGAGAAAACAAGCTCAGGGAGATAGGTAAGTTACACTACATAAACACTACAATTAAAAATGACAGTGGGAACTAACAAAGGCAACATAAAGATGTAATTTGTAGGGGGCTTAAAGAAGATCTAAAGTAGTAGTGTACTTCTCCAAAACTCAGCAACATCATGGACTTTTTAACAGCTACTTACGGACTAATTTAGAATTCATCTTTCCTTTTGGACTTCGGAGTATTCAGAGCTAGAAGCCAACTTGATTACTTGATTCCAAAAAAACATACGATCCATGTTGAGATGTCCAACAGAGGAGGCGATGTACAATGCTAGCCAACAACAAATACTGCCATACACAATCATACACACAACCACTCTCACACATATCCAAGACACAAAAATATAGCATTGTACTTTCCAAGTACAATGCTTAAATAAGAAAAAAAAATTAAAAATTTTCTTTTAAATTTTTTTTTGACAATGCTATAATTGGGTGGCTATTTCCAAGATATACCCAATTGTAGCATTGTGCTTTAATTATTTTTAGAGATAATTTCAAAAGCAGAAAGTACATTGCAAGAAATAGCAAAGTACTTTCTATTTTAGAAAATAACCATAAAAAATAAAAAAGAGTATGTTGTTTTTGTATTTTGTTTAAAGCCTTTGTTGTATAAGCATAGTTTCTCGTAACAACAAAAGTCTACTATAAATCGCCTGATGGTAACAATAACGAAGTCATCATGGCATTTGTAAGTAAAAGGGTATGTTTGGTTGGATAGAATGGAATAAGAAAGGTAATGGATTGAATTAGTACATTCCATAATCAACTAATCAAGTTTGGTTGGCTTGTAGGAAAGTAATGAAATTTCATATGCAATAAGCACATACCATACACACACTTTGCTTTAGCAGAAGCAACATGCAGTTTATTTCTTACCATAAGTAAACCATTTGAAGCAGCTTCCATATCACTTTGTGCTAACTCCCACTCATGCTCTATACCTAATGTCCTAATCAACTGAGAACCACCAAAACTTTATCAAACTTAGAACTCAACAAATAAACATGTAAAATTAAAGTCGATATGCGAAGGAGTAATAAGTGGCACCTAACTTCATTAACACATTAAAGTAAGCTTGCTGGCTTGCTGCCATGCCCTCCCATTGTCATCTCCCCTAGTGCTAGTACCCCATCTCTAGAAGCTTCAAATCCAATATTGACATTTAGATTTTGATAATATGACGAAACCTTTTCTCGAGCATCCCATACCAGCTGTCTTCTCTTTGCTAAATGATCATGAAACTCGGGCGGAATCCCGAAGGTCCTTCTAAAGTTTGACTCGGTCAAACCCAAATTTGGACCTCCATAAGCTCACCCCATGCATATTTATATGTACATAAAAACAAACAAAATATAGTATTTATTCAATGTTTAACCCAATCTTATATTGTATCTGGTTAGATAACGTCACAATAATCAAAAAGATATTAAAAAGAAAAAGCATGCATCCATTAAATCAAAAAAAAACTTTTGAACCTCAATAGTCATTGATACAATTTAAAGAAGCATTAAAAAAAATTAGGTTAAAACTTAAAACTTACAAAAATCCATATAAATTAACAGGAATCACATAGTTTAACACAATAGCTTGAATCTTGAAAAAAAAAACAAATCGTTCATTTAAAGAATCGGTAGCTTGAATTTTGGAAAAAAAATCTGAAAAAACAAACAAACATACATTTGATTACCCGAAGTTGTAGCTTGAAACGGGGGTGTTTTTGTAGCTTAAAGCCATCATCAAACTCTTTTCATAATAGAACTAATATGAATGCCAACCAAAAATAATCATGGAATGTATGTCTCATATTATTACCTTGGCCATTCCATATTTCCATTTCATCTAACCAAATAGACTCATGTTGGAATTAATTGTCATAATAAAACAACATTTTATAAATTAAAAAAAAGAAAAAAAAAAGAATCACGAGTGGAAAGAATCTCACCCATAGGACTCCTATTTATCCGTCAAGAATCCTCTAGTCATATTTTGGTTTCTAGTGGCTTTATCAAACAGAGCGACATGAATCATTGAATTGAACTTATCAGACATTTCAAAAATCTCCACACAAACAGGGAGAAAATTTATAAGTGTTTCCCTACAATAAACAAGGAATTTAAAGCATCATATTCAAATTTTCATGTGCAAAATTCTAAAATCAATTTATTAAAAAGTATAACTGACAGACGAAAGTAAAACGTATAATAAGAACATTCTTCTCTTGAAGGAGAAAACAAAACTAAGCAGTTATCACCGGTTGTTCCATCTTCTTTCCCTTTCCCTTAAGTCATTGAGTGAGACCGAGGAAATGAGAGATATAGATGGTGGATGGAACAACCGGTGATAACTACTTAGCCTTTTGTTTGTCCTTCAAGGAAACATAAGTAGGTAAAGATTAAAAAGTATTTATTTTGAAAATACATAGATGAAATAACCAAAAAGAATAGATATGTAAGTAGGTAAAGTTGTATAAAAAAATTGCAAAAATTATGCAGTATTTACAGCCTCTAAAGTATAGTCCAACTCCCTAAACTTTATCCATATTTACTTCACCATGAAGATCTTAATCAATAAGTACGTGATAAGAAATATAAGTACGTGATAAGAACATTTCTTTTTTAATTTTTTTTTTGACTATTTACATCAACCATTTGTATAGTTTTGACTTTTAAGAAATATAACTGATGATGGATTTTAGAAAACATTTCAGATATACGATGATAAATTAGTTAAGTATTGTTTTTAAAAGAAAAGTCTATGAGAAGGTTTATGTATTAAAAAAGATTTGTGATATACATTATATTTTTTGTTAAATAAAAATTTACGCAGGTGACAAATAAAAAACTTAACCTATGAGAAGGTTAATGTATTAAATAAGTACTATTTTAAAGTATTATGCCTACAAAATTTGTCTTATGAGTCTGCTGATTTTTTTCCTCTGACATTCCACAATCCACCCTTCCTAATGCGTTATTTGTAGAATTAAATATTAAAAGTAAATAACTGCGACTGCCATAGATTAAGAATCAGAATAACTTTTGTAGGAACTCTATACATACCGTATGAAAAATTGGCAAAGGGCATACAAACAACATGCTTCAATTTTTCCACTATGATTTGTTTATTCATTTATAAATTTTGTCAACATATTCCTCAAGTGATCAAACATAAAGAATTTGGAATAAATACTACCTGTAATCTTATTTTCTGGACTTGATAAAACATATAGTGTTGGAAGATGCCTGTAGAGCGATACATCAAGTGGAATCCAAATGTTACGCCATTGATTCATTCTCCAATTTGAATTGGTTATGTACGATAACCACGTCACCTTGATTCTCATACAATCTTTCCGATTTCATCAATTTGACTATATAAGTTGTGAATTTTTCCATAGCTGCCTACAACAATACATAAATTAAATTATCATAACAAGAAAAAATGAGGAAAAATAAAATAAAGTGTATGAAAGATTGGGAAAGAGACCTTGCAAAGAGTGTTATCTGTTCTAAAACTAATTCCTGACACATACTTCAACCAAACAGAAAATTCCCTGAAGAAGCAATGGCATAAAAGATGGTAAATTTAATATCTTCTTGTGATTATAAGATAAAGTTTCTTGAAATGATGATATAATATTTTTATTGATAGACCCAAAGTTCAATTCAACACAAGCATAAGGACCCATTCTAAGATTAGCATACAGCCCAACTTCATAAATTAACTTAATGAACTTAACCACATCATATCTATCTTCAAAATAATACTGAAATAAAACTCGAAGTTAACATAAAATAATTAATTATTAAAAACATAAAATAAATAAACAATAAACACTTATCCTTTGTCAGGTTGTAGTTCATGCCCATTCCAGAAAATGTAAGTCTGAATCACATCAAGACCTCATTATTTAGCCTTCTGAATGAGATCTGGCCACACCTGATCATCAAAATGCACAGAAAAACATTCAGAAAAAAGTAAAGATTTTTAGAAGAAGAAAAAAAGAAGTGATGAAGGAAGTGCATTGATGAAGGAAAAACATTCAGAAAAAAGTAAAGATTTTTAGAAGAAGAAAAAAAGAAGTGATGAAGGAAGTGCATTGATGAGTTGTACCTCGGGGTTATTTCGTGGGTAATGAATGGATCCAGAAATCAGAATCCTTCTTTTGCCATTTAAATCATTCAAAGCCTCTCCAATTCCAGTTATCTAGACTATTAATACACATTTCATCAAATCAAACATAAGTAGATCTGGTGAAACAGAATCGATTGCATATCAAAATAAGAAATCACCAGGAAACTTTCAAAATTGTATTGCTTTATAATATCGCACACGAAAACATTTGATAATCATAATTTGATATAACATTACCACAAAAAAATCTGAAAAGAAACAATCCATTGCATATGAAAATCACTAGCAATTTGCATGTATAAGAACAGAAGAACAAAAAATAACCAGGGCGGCAGAACCAAGCTGCATCATCAACAGGAGGATCATGATTGGTGAAATCAATCCATTGAGGAGCGTTAATGTCTTCATAAAGTAAGTCCTTTTCGAACTTCGAATCCTTGCAATCGATCACGGCTACATCCATTGACGGATTGGAGAGAGAGAAAGAGAAAAAGAAGAAGAAAATGAGTTCATGTAGACAATTTATAACAATAGAAGAAGAACACATAGGATCGATTCGATGTATATATGAAATCGATAGGGTTATTTGTATCGATTGAAGGAAGGGTTTAGGAATTATATCTACCGAGTCTCATGGGATGTCGATATACGATTTTGGCTGATTGTGTGGAGAGGATACCTAGGAATGAAATTAGGAATGAAATGTATGAAGGAAGTTACAATCTAGGCGCGTGCATATTATATTTTGGTCTAGAATGATGCAGCAAAACGATCTAACGCTAGAAAGCAAAGGAGTGAAATATAATCAAGGGTCCTTACTTCTTTATTATAAAATTTAAGGTTCTTTTTTAATAATATTTAGAGATATGGGTAAATTATGTTTTTTGTCCATGTGGTTTCTTGAATTTTAAAAATATGGTCCACTAGTTTGATGATTTAAAATTACATAAAACCCATAAATCTCAAGTCACATTATAAAAATGACATATGCATCGCCATTACCAAATCCATTACATAAAACCCATAAATCTCAAATGCTTATAAAAGCTTTGAAGTTTGAATTACATGATCATACATGCATTCAGTACAACCCATATCATCTAGTGCACCCTAAGTGTCGATTGCATGAACATTAAGCATCCATTTCTCTTCATATCCATTAGGAACTTCAAGTGGATTACCCACTTCAATTGCATAATGATTAAGAACATATGTATCTGTCTTTCGTGTTTCAGATCCCAACCCAAAAATTTGGGAAAGACCACGATAATATTGCATACTCCAGCATTCTTAGCAACTACCAAATCTGATGGGTTGAGTCCTAGATTATTGTTATAATTTGGTTCTTTAATACTCTTTCGTTGGTAGTGTCTTACTACAACCATACGGTGGATATACATTTCTTGAAGGGAAATAGGATTCCCTTCTTCATCTACAAACCCCACATTGAAACTCTATAGAAATATGACCTATTATTTTATAGTAAGCTTTATTTAAAACGGATCTCGGATGTTGAGTTATTTTAGGTGTTAAATACACCCTTAATTTCACCCTGTTTTCATGTATTACACGATCTTGCGAAATTTAAGCATATATTGCCAAAAAGACTACAGCTATCAAAAACGAATTTTAAGCATATATTGTCAAAAAGACTATAGCTAAAGAACGAATTGTAAGCATATATTGCCAAAAAGACTATAGCTATCAAGAACACAGAGAACCTTGGGTACCACGTAACATGGTTCTGGAAAAAAAATTAAAAAAATATCAGGAAAATTTACGTAACGAACTCAAATTGCATCATTCAAGATTTACATATCAAAATGGTTGTTACTAAATTGTGTACCAATGCATAAAGTAAGATTTTTAATATTATTTCTTTAGCTTTATCGTGTCAAGACTTCCATATTCATGAACCAACAGTTAATCTGATCACTTTATGTCCTTGTTTATGAGCTCTTGAAGTTACTGAAGCAAGATTTAAATCTTTGAATTAGAAATATTTGAATGGACTAAGAACTTTGAATATTAAGTTCCATTCTCTTTCAGCAAGAAATCCAAATAGAAATTGACGAATTCATGAGACAGAGATTGATTTCATTTGACTAATTATACCGAGAGTGCTAGATTCAGATTCGCATTCTATTCACAATGTAACATCCCAAAATTATGTCCCAAAAATTTTTGTTTAAAATCTTACTAAAAACCATCTCATCAAATATCATACATACTAAAAATCATAACTGAGTAACTCAAAAGTCATGTCACTGTGTCAAACGTATACTATATCAACCATATCAAAATATCTGAACAAAACTCCCAGGAATAAACTGAAACTGTGGTGTGTGCCATGCCATCATCCCGAGCTCTTCCCTTTACTTGCGGAAGTACCTGAAACCAAAACTGAAAACTGTAAGCACAAAGCTTAGTGAGCTCCCCCAAACTACCACATACCATACAATAACATATAAGCAACTACTGGGCCTTGCCCACTGCATCGGACCGAAGTCCGGAAACTGCATCGGACCGAAGTCCGGAAACTAACCAGGGCCTTGCCCTCTGCATCGGACCGAAGTCCGGAAACTGCATCGGACCGAAGTCCGGAACTAACCAGGGCCTTGCCCTCTGCATCGGACCGAAGTCCGGAAACTGCATCGGACCGAAGTCTGGAACTAACCAGGGACTTGCCCTCTGCATCGGACCGAAGTCCGGAAACTACATCGGACCGAAGTCCGGAACTAACCAGGGCCTTGCCCTCTGCATCGGACCGAAGTCCGGAAACTGACTGAACATAGCATAACATAATCACAACTACTGGCATAAACACATATACTGCATACTGCATCGGACCGAAGTCCAGAACACATAACACAAAATCATGCTTGAATCACAAAGACATCAAGCACACTGAACTACTGCATCAGACCGAAGTCTGGAACTACTGCTAACTAAACGGGCCGGCATTGTGGCCGTAGACTCGTTCCTACTGGAAGGAAACTCACCTCGTAACGCTGAGTGTCGAGATGCTAAATCTGAAACTGCCTGACCGCTGCTCCGGAATTCCCCGGCTACAAATCCCAAAACACTAAATCAAATACGGATAACTAATCGCAGGGCAAAGTGACTATTTTACCCCCTGGTCAAAGTCAACTTCCTGGTTGACCAGACTCGCCGAGTTGGCTCGCCAACTCGCCGAGTCCCTTCCATCTGTTCTAGATTTATACCCGCTTTTACTCGTCGAGCTTGGCGAAGACTCGACGCGTTCTTCTTCGATGCACACATACTGAGTCCAAGTTCATCCGACTCGCCGAGTTGAAGAACAACTCGTCGAGTCTAAGGCAATCTTCATCGAACTCACCGAGTTGCTCATCCAACTCGCCGAGTTCACGGCTATCTTCATAGGACTCGCCGAGTCCATCGTTCTACTCGTCGAGTTCATTCAGTCCTTTTTCCATACAGACATGATTTTGAGCCATGCAGCGGCTCCAAACCACAGATCTAGGCTTCTAGGGCATGCTTATCACGTAAAGTTGCAAACTTTACATGCATACATAGCTTTAAGGGCTTCAAATGTCAAAACTAAGCTCTTAATGGGGTTCTAAGCTCAAGAGGGACCTCAATCACGAACATAACTGAGACTTTACACCTCTAGAAGGTAATGAGGGTCCAGATCTGAAGTATAACCCAACCATAAGGTTTCTCTACCAAGGATTTGGGGTTTTAGGGCTTAAAAGCAACAATTTAGGGACAAACAAGATCTAATAGATCAATAATCAAGATGGAAACTTTATTACCCGAATAGATGACCACAAATGAATGTGTTCTGGATCTAAGTCCCCTTCCTTGAGCTCTTCAACCCCTCCCTTCTTCCACTTTCTCCAATGTGCACCAAAAGTCCCTTCACAAGGCAACAATCACTCAAACTCACCAATGGAGGCTAGGGTTTCGATAATGAATGCTCTGAGGGTGATGGAGGCTGAGATGGGGCTATAAGGACGTTTAAATAGGGTGCAAACCCTAAGGATTAAGGTTTCCTCCTGACTGGCCTACTCGCCGAGTCCAGGCGTTGACTCGCCGAGTAGATCACTTAAAGCCCGCGTCCAATTCGACATCTACTCGGCGAGTTAGGGCTACAACTCGCCGAGTAGCTCTTACAAAAAGAAACATTTAATCAAATTAAATACGTACCAGGAACGGGGCGTTACAATTCTCCCCCACTTGTCTCAGACTTCGTCCTCGAAGTCTGCTGCTGCTGCATCTGAAAACAACTCTGGGTAATGCCCCCGCATCTCCTCCTCGGACTCCCACGTCCACTCTGACCCCTTCCGGTGCTGCCACTGCACCTTCACTAACTGAACCACCTTGTTCCTCAAGGTCTTCACCTTTCGATCTAAGATCGCAACTGGCCTCTCGATATAATTCAGGCTGCTATCAACATGAATATCCTCCATGGGTACTACTGCTGACTCGTCCACCAAACACTTCCTCAACTGAGAAACATGGAAAGTGTTGTGGATCTGGCTAAGCTCTGCCGGGAGATCCAATCGATAGGCGACCCGACCCACCCGGGCCAAAACCCTAAAAGGACCAATGAACCTGGGGCCCAACTTGCCCCTCTTTCGGAATCTGATGACACCCTTCCAGGGTGATACCTTCAGGAGGACCATGTCATCCACCTGAAACTCCAAGTCTGAACGCCTCTTGTCGGCGTAACTCTTCTGCCGACTCTGCGCAGTCTGCAGTCTACGACGAACCTGCTGGATCAAGTCTGTCGTCTTGAGCACCACTTCGGTACTCCCAATGACACGCTGACCGACCTCGCCCCAACAAATCGGGGTCCTGCACTTCCTTCCGTAGAGCATCTCGAAAGGAGGGCGGTCAATACTCGCATGGTAACTGTTGTTATACGAAAATTCCGCTAACGGAAGATACGTATCCCAACTGCCACCGAAATCTAGAACACATGTCCGGAGCATGTCCTCGAGAGTCTGAATCGTCCTCTCGCTCTGCCCGTCTGTCTGAGGGTGGAAAGCGGTGCTGAAATGGAGACGAGTCCCCATCTCGTCGTGAAACCGCTTCCAGAATCTGGAAGTAAAACGGACGTCTCGGTCTGACACCACCGAAACAGGCACTCCATGTCGTGCCACAATCTCTCGCACATAAATATCGGCTAGCTTCTCCGCCGATATACTCTCCTGGATCGGTATAAAATGAGCACTCTTCGTCAACCGATCCACAATGATCCAAATCGAATCCACTCCACGTGCAGTCTTGGGAAGCTTGGTGATGAAATCCATGGTGATGTCTTCCCATTTCCACACTGGAATGTCTAATGGCTGCATCTTGCCGTGAGACCTCTGGTGCTCTACCTTGACCTTCCTGCAGGTCAGGCACCTCTCCACGTACCAGGCGACATCCCGCTTCATGCAGGGCCACCAATAATGGGGTCGAAGATCTCTATATATCTTCGTCGCCCCTGGATGGATGGAAAATCGAGACTTGTGGGCCTCATCCATCAGCACCTGCCGTACTCCTCCCCAGTACGGCACCCAAACTCTCCCATGAAGGGTCAACAATCCTCGACTATCATAGTCGAAGGAAGCTACTCGGCCCACGATCCTCTCACACTTCTGCCTCTCCTTCTTGAGGCCCTCGACCTGTGCCTCTCTGATCTGCTCCAATAATGGAGTAATCATTGTCATCCTAAGACATAT